AGGAACACTAAGGCCGACTCATTCCTTAGTGTCTCAAATAGATTTCCATGATTGACTTTAGATGGGTTTGTTGGATTCTTACCATTTTTTGTGCCCTTGTTACTTCTATGCCATTTCTTTCTGACTTCAGGCCAAATAACATTTGCCTCTTCATCTGTTTTTTGACTTACTATCTACCACTCTTTTCCAGGTGTTTTAATCTGATCTTCTATCTTTTCTGGTTGTTGGATATTGATTGGTGTCTCTATAATTTCCTCTGGCATGGTCTTCTCCTTTGGTGTCCATTTCTTGACTATTTGTTTTTACTTCACTTCACATGTGTGCCCTATCCTTTGACATTTTATGAAATAGGGTGGTCTCTATTCGTACTCAACCGGTTGTTGCATCTTCTCTCCATTTTTGTCCGTGATAGTGATTTCCTTAATTAACTCTTGTGTGATATCTATCTCGACCAAAATTCTAGCGTAAGAGATTCGATTCCTGTTAGAAGTGCATTCATCCTTCATCAGAGGTCTACCTAGTACACTACCGATCTTCCCTAAACTTTTGGCTCCCCATAGATGTAGCAGTAATTTAGGTAGTTGGATCCATACTGGGATGGTTCGTAACATATCCTTCTTCAAATTAAAATTTGGTTTTCACTCAGTTAACAACACAAGCATGTTTCGTATTGTATATGGGCCCTTCCTCAATATATCATCCCTGTCTTTGTATGATTGAAACCTCAAGACAAAGTACCCTTCATTGTTATAGTACATGTCAGGCAATTTCACAAAATTCCATTGTTTTACCATGAACTATTTAACTACGTGCATACTTAGATCTCCTCCTAGGACATACATAATTAAAGCAGTATCCCAAAATTTTACCTCATTCACAATATCCTCGTCTTCAATCACGACCTCAGCCACTCCATTGACTAATTTCGGTGCTATGAATTCCAACACCAAACCATTTCTCGAATTTCGATTGCCACTAATCACATCCACCCAAAGTTTTCGGGGTTCAGCTTCTAGGGTTACCGATTCTGTACTGTCATCTTGTTTCATCTTCGTGTCATTGTTTCCATTTTGTTTCGCGCTATTGGATCCCTGTACATTGTTAGGTGTTGTTTTTTCTTCTTCTCGAGTCTCCTTCTCTTTGTTATAAGTTGTTGTTGGTGTTTAGATCCCCCCTTTCAGTGGTCTTCCTCGCCCTCTCCTCATGAGTTATTCACTTCGAGAAATCGGTAGGTTAATACTTGATAGAATTTGATACTTGTAAATTGAAAAATAAACAAAGCTTGAGGCAGTTAAAAAACCAAATTTTCTTAAAAGATATGATGAGTGACTGCAAGTCATTACACATCAAAATAAAATTCAACTAAAGCACGAGAAATGCTAAAGAACTACATCTAAAGTCGAAAACATAAACCCAAATCATAAACTCTATTTTTGAGTACAGATATGAACATAATTTTTTTATTCCTCACAATACAATTTGAGCAATTCAAACAAAAACAAAATAAATCTAAAAACATAAAAGCAGTATTACAACATCTCTAACTATAAAATAGAAAGTTAGAAAATAAAAAGGGGTCAAAGGAAAAAACAGGAACATTAAGGCATTAACAACATAACAGATTTGAACCATGCATGTAGTTGCCATTGCAGTTATAGGTGGAACGTGAATCTCTCTTTTCCAACTTCCGTTATACGGTTCAGACCTTATGAAATGAATGAATCAAATAAACCGGTCGAACCATCTATTGAATCTCGCGACAACTCAGATACCAAAGTAACTTCTTTTAGCTTCTATGACAAAGCTTTAATATATAATAATTATATATATGGAAACCACATAGAGGTAGTGTAAGCTTATAATTGGTTTCTATATGACAAAAACAAATAAACAGAAGCTTTGAAGCAAAAACGACATTACATTTTAAGTGAATTTGTTTCCAATTTGAATCACAAATTGAAATGACATCTTGAGTAGTATTTTTCACCTTCTGCACACAAGTGAAAAAATAGTCCAATTGGAATATTTGACACGACACAAGGAAAACTATAAAAAGTTTATATTTGAGAACTAAATAAAAGCCTTACAAAATTACATGTGACATAGCACGTGCAATAGTGGAAATGATCATTAAGTATACTACTTGATTTGGAAAACCATTAAGAGAGGAAGAAACAATGAGCAGATAGACATGGCTAATAGTTGTTATATGAGTGGTGCTTTTAAGTGCAAGACATGTAGTAAAGACTTCCTTTCCTTTCAAGCTCTTGGTGGACATAGGACTGCATAAGATTAAGCTAATTGGCAAAAACCATTCTTCTGTCAAGTTGCATATATGTTCTATTTGTGAGATTCAATTTGCACATGAATAGTACAAAAGAGTAGTTGCACCTGCTGCATTAGCCATGGTTGCAGATGCCTCATGAATAACCTCTCCCTAAAAAATATTTAATTATAAACTCAACTACAAATGTCTAAACACAAATAAAACTAAGTATTATCATGTAACTAAATCAACTAATTAATTATTCATCAACGGAGTGCCAATAAATCTATTAAAAAACCAAAGAGAATCACCACCTGAAAAATTTCCAAACACATAATTATACAACTTTAAAATGGAATTAAGTAGACTTGGTATTTAGTTTATTGATTTTTTTAAAGTCAAATAGCAACTATTGAAGTGGATAGAACAATTTTGGATATACCTAATTATCAAATTGGCAGCAACAACTATAAGCTGCTAATCCAAACATAGCTTTAATCAAACTGATTACATCCTACTAAATAGAGATAGCATTTATGATAACAAAGAATAATAAATTGCTATGCCGAGTTAGTTTCAACAGTTGAATGGAATGCATGACAGAAGTTTAAACTCCCTTATTTATCAATGAATGGAATAGTTTTAGCTGCTCCTATAACAGTTTGGAGCACGAAAAATATAGCTTGAATGATAATCCAACAAAAAACATCAGGTATGCTCTACGGAAACAAAAAAGTGTATGCTCAAATGACTCTACATCTTTCAAACTTGGTTTCCTGCAAGACACTCTTTGAAGCAAAAATGCAAACAGCTATAATGCAACAAACCAAGTTAGAATTATGAAGAACTTATGAAGAAACATGTGACATGTTTATAAATTGTATTCACTTCTCAGTTTTTTTTTCATAAGCTCGCCAAGATAATTTATTAAAATCATTTATAAATTATTCAATTTGACTGTATCTTCTTATGTTATACAAATAGTTTATTTATAAGCGCTTATATATAAGTTGTTTATCCAAACATAGCCTTAATCAAACTGATTGTATCCTACTGAATATAGATAGAATTTATGATAACAAAAAATAATAAATTGCTATGTTAGTGGAAAGGGATAGATACTGATGATGTGGAACTATTATCATGCGACGTAATTGGACTATTGAAATTGTGCAGAGAACCATCAATTTTGGTATTAAAAGAAAGCTTGTTAATAAGAGACCAGGGGATAGTATAATTTATGCATTTATTTTTCCAAAGTAGGGAGACTTTCCATTGTCTAAGTAAATGATTTTGATTTGGAATTCAGTTTCCCACATATCTTAGAAGTTTAATAGACAGTTCAGCCAACATAGAGATTATTAAAATAATAATAAAAAATGAGTAAGAAAAAATGTAGAAGTGACACATAAGCAGTAAATAATATCAAATGAAAATAATTACAGTAAGGGTGTAATTAGTCAGTTTAAACCCTGTAATCAGAAAAGTTAAAACTTCTAGTCACAAGGTTATACGTGATATTTCCAGGTATTTTAGGTTTTATATATTTATATTAGATGTTTTCATTTGTTTTCTTATGTGTTTATTTTTTTTAGGAATTAACATGACATGAATGGAGCAACACATAAATAAGGTATTCTTAAGTTCAATTTTATTTATTTATTTTTTTTATGGTTATTTTGCAGGGAGAAACTTTAAATCATCACAAAATGCTTCCTTTATTTGTATTTTTCTTATTTTTCTTATTTTTCTTTTTTATTTCACCATTAACTCATTTTATGTTGTTCATTCCTTATCTAATAACTTTTATCATCACTAACTCATTTTCACTCACATTTCTTCAACTCTAGTGTGATGCGGTGGGAGAACTGATTTAAGGTTTTGCGTTTGTGTTTGCAAATGTTTCGGTTTAACAAGAGTCGCCACCGACTTTTTATTTATCCAAAGGAAAGGTAAAAAAACACAGGAAAGACATTTGAGATGTTTTCTTCGGTTCGGGGGGTAGATTATGAAAAGGGAAGGTGCTAGCACCCTTTTCATACATGGTTTTCCATGGACTCTTAGTTACTTGTTTTAGATCACTTTCTTTTGCTTTTCAATTGTTTGAAATGGTGCTTTGTGTGTTGTTTTAAAAGTATTTTGAAAAGAGGTCATCGTTGTGGCAACCTTTGTAATGATTCTTGTTTGAATGTATACAAAGATGTTTTGTCTTTTGAAAAATGTTTCAATGTTTGAAAGTTTGCTTTGGGAAATATTTTGAAATTGTGTTGTGATGTGTGTTTGAAAATAGCAAGGATGTTTGCAAGTTTGTTCAAGTAACTAAGAGTTATCTACCTTATCTACTCAAAGATCTTTCCTACACATTTTTAACCCTTTCACATGGTTGTTTTACCATTGTATTTGGTAAACAACCTTGTGTTTGAATGTTAAACGGGACAGACGTGAGTCATCGTATAACCATGATAGCAATAGTGCTAAGTATCTTAGCAAGTTTTTGTTTGAGGGACTAGATCATTTTGTATAGGCAACCAAGATAGCGTCATCGAGGGACTATGATCTTTTGTTTTATTTTTTGTTTTGCCAAGATACTCAACATGCATACCATGACCATTTTAAAGGCAACAAGTGGATGAA